TTGTATTTCAGTAGTCAAAACATTCATTAAATGGGATTCACTCAAACCAGTGAACTGCTCAGATGACATAATCGAGTTACAAAACCAGAACCGCTCACACACGCGAAAATGCTTATTTTGTTGCATGAATCAGCAAGTAAATTCAAACGTCTGCAGTCTCTCTTGTAAGTGCGTGAAGGATAGTTTTGCTTTGCTTTGTCTATTTCTGTGACTGATAATAGCCCTGATTGTTATTGCCACTGCCAGCTGCCACATAATTTGATGTTTAGAACAAATCAGTGTGCGTACATGTACCTGTGCTTGTGTGCACATGTATCTGAAGGGAGTTTCCACTTAACTTGTGTGGGAGGAAACTGAAAACGGTCATTGCTTTCGGGCAAATAGCTATCTTGTGACATGAAGGGCCAAATGTCTATAGGTGTTCACCACAAACCTCACCAGGTGATTTTATTATTTGATTCCTCTTTTCTCTTTAAAGGTGTTCGTTCTTATGATCGTTTAAAATCAAACTTTTATGCTTCTGGAAATCCCTTCGCAAAGGGTGACATCACAAATACAGCATCCCCATTTGGTACAGCCAAAACCAGTAATAAAACCAGTAGTAATAAAACCAGTAATAAAACCAGTAGTAATAAAACCAGTAATAAAATCAGTAATAAAATCAGTAATAAAACCAGTAATAAAACCAGGAGAAGTCCTTCATATCTCTTTCTAACTAACTCACTAATTAACAGTGAAGGCTATATACAGCCTCCTAAATTAATATTTCAAACAAAAATAAATGGTAATAAACTGTATATGTAAAGATGACGTGTTTTTATAAAGAGCTTTCATAAAATTGTGAGAAAATAACTCAAATTTGATGGGTTTGAGACATGCAAAAATACATTAGAATTTAATACCATGTAAAAATGACTTAAACATTTGAAATGCAGAGCCACCTCTTGCCCACTACTTTATTTTTAAATTTGAAGTAGTGCTGTAAGGGTCAATCACAAAAATATTGCTCAACAATTGTATTAACTTCAATTTAGTCATTTCTCAAGACTAACGCTTCCATTTTCTCAAATATGGACCTTTTTTAAAAGAAAAGATCTCACCTTGTGCATTGGGGATAGTAAAGGGCATGTTTTCACCTCCTACAGTACTAATCTTTTATAGGGAGGCAAACAATAAAAACAAAACACAGCACTACTGGAACTTTAAAGGTTAAATACATTTATACAGTCTTAACAGCAGCAAGCTGATCCGTCTGTGATTCATCCGGCTTCTGGTCAGTGAAGCCTGCTGGAAGAAGTCCGCTGGGTATCTTTGGTACATTATTGCTTATCCCTGTATTGAAGCACTTACAGGCACATTCATATATAACTCAGTTTCACATCATATTTCCCCCTTGGTGATACAGCGTGTTGTCCCTACAACTCAGCTGTTTAGAAACTCTTATCTTCATTCACCTCTGCTCCACTGACAGGAAGTTGACCAATGTAAACACGACCTTGCAGAAGTTTTACCCCCCCCCCTCTTCACAGTGAAACATGAACCTCACGTGTACCCAGTCATGTAAAGTGTCATGGTCAAGACTGGGCTGCACAGTGCACACGCATATCTTAACATAATTACTAACTCCTAATGATGATTTCTTAGTTAAAAAAGTTGTTGAGGTGTGATTGACAGATTAATTATATTCCTGGTTAAACAGGGTGGCAACTGTCATTTGTATTGTTAATAAGATAATAATTTGTATTGTTAATAAGAGACCAAATACCTGTCACGTAACTATTTTTCACTATGAAAGAAAACATAAGTAATAAATTATTCTCATATTATCTTCTGTTCCAAACACAGGTCAGTGCAACATGGCTAGAAATAGTGAAAAGTACTGTATTGTGAATTAATTCATTATTAATTTTAGATTAAATAAACCGTCTAATGCACACCTGGTCCTGTTCTGTCTACCTTGATATGGTTTTTCTCATTTAGGGATTATTTTGTCAATTATTGATGTATTATTTCAGATGTAAAGATGGGAATCGAGAACCAGTTCCAAATTGTCCGAGCCATACTAATTCCTTTTTATTGAAACCGTCTGACAACGTTGCCTTTTATCAATGCCTTTTCCTGCTCTGTTTCTGCACTGAGATAGAGTTTATAAAACAGTTGCACTGAAACTGAAAACAGAAAGAATGAGGGAATCGATAAAGAATCGGGCCGATAAGCAGAATCGATAATGGTATTGTTATCAATAAAATCTTATCAATTACCATCCCTGCTCTGGTGATTGAAGTTTGATAGTTTGGTGATTGTAATGTGATACTCGTGAGATGAGTCAATTAGACAGTTGATTGACGGTTAATTGTTTGTCATTTTTCAATCAAAATGACACTCACTAGTTTCACTCGCTTTTAAGTTGTGATTATTTGCTGCTTTTCTGTTTCCGATAACAAACATTGCACTGTAGGTCAAACAAAACAAGCAATTTGAAGATTATTATATTTTTCTCTACATTTTGTACAATAAACAGTCAATCAGATTCGATCTGATAGATCAGTTATTAGTTGTAGCCTTCGTATTAGGATGCTGTTGTTTTTGTGAATTTGATCCTAGAAAAAGGTCAATGAATTTTCAATGGACTTATTGCTGACGGTGGGTGGGGATTTGTAAAAGTGTGTGAAAACAATCGACAGATCCACGGCTGGCTACCTACCCTAACTCATGACCCCATTACTGTAGACCAGCAGGAGGCTTGATGTAGTCCAGAACTGATGACTGAACTGCAGACTAACATCTGGAGGCCAGGGAGTTGATACACATGCATTTCTACACCGAAACACACATTGGCGCTAGAGATGCAACCGCCAACACAAACCTCTGGTGTGAAGTCCTCCTCCGGTGGAATCCCACACAACACGGCACGAGCCTGCACCGGATCCACAGATCAGGTTACCATGGTTATAGATCCCGGCGGAAACTCTGTCCACCAGCCCGCATATTCTGGGATGAGTTAAAATTACCACCGCACTTGTCTTTGTTCCTCCTGGCTTCTTTAGTGTTTTTCCTATTGTTTTTTTTTTTCTCATAAACATACAAACATGCACTGCTTTTATCTGCTATATGGTATCTTAGTAAAGTTATTTTATGTTTATGAAACCCCCGCTGTCTGTTGCATAATCACATAAACTCAGTTTCAGTTCTCTCTCCTCTCGCTCCAGTTCCCTGTGTCTGCCTTGTTTTCTCTGTGGTTGTCTGATGTTTTGTTGTGTGCGTTTGTGTGTGAATGGATTCCCAGTCAACATCAACAGACAGAAAACGGATGAGGAGAGTCTTTCTGTCTCTTGGGCGACGGTGGAAAAGGGCATTTGAGGATGTCATGCCACAGTAACATGGCTCCTCTGGTGTTGGCACACGCCTCATTGGCCTTTAAGTCACCCAGAGGCTGCTGGGATACTTTCTGTCACACTCTACATCTCACAACTGACTCACGCTACTGTTAAAGCCTCAGGCAGGGCAGCACCGAGGACAGATATGTGCTCTGTTTTCATGTGCTCTGTGTTGTATTCAATGGTGAGAGAATGACTTGAAGGATGAAAGACGGGCGAATGATTTTTGTTACATCACATTGTTTGAATAATGCTGATTTGCTATGACGTAGCTCCGATAACATCATGGTGACATTTAATTTGCTAAATGTTATCATTTAGAAAGTACATTTGGGAACAAAATCAGTAAAAATAAGCTAGAAGGGGAAATGAATATGTGCATTCAGTCAGACAGTGCAACATGCTGTAAACAAGCCAACAGTTTAATCAGATTATCTAAACCAAGTTAATTGGATGTAAATCCAGAAGTGAGCAAAATGTTGGTTATAATCCTTCACTGAACAGGAAAACTGAATGCACATAACCCCTCCCACCGATGAGATCATAAAGCGTTTATTGTGAAATCTAATTCCAGCTTTTACATTTCCTCATTCCTTTTTACTTTTGTTTATTTAGATCACCATTAGCGACTGTAACAACAGCAGTAGCTAATATTTCTGGGCTCCGGATAATGTATATACAGTCCTTTAATAAAATAATAGAATCATTTGATTATCTAGCAAGGCTGCAATGTTTGTGCATTACAACAATGAGCATTTTGTTTCACATTTAAGACACCTGACAGCTGGAACAAAATGTTCTCTTTTTGAACCTAAAAGACAGAAAAATAAAGGTTGACCTGGAGGACAGATGGCTTTAAGAGCATTACTTTAGTGGCGTTTTATGCGACAGCTGTTTGCATTGAAATGTAATGTTTCAAAATGGAGAGAAAAGCCTGGCCAGTGACCTTCAGGTAATGTGAGCTTGTAAAACTTCATTTGACTACTCATGATGTTTATCTACTGGATATCCTTTTGGTGAAAGTGCCACGTTTAAAGATCTTAAAGTGTTCTACGTTATTGTTGCCTATAAGAGGAATGATGGCTAAAGCTATCAAAATAAGAGCAAAGTTGTAATAAAGCAAAATGAGTTGTAAATACTGGAATATTTGCATAACTCAAAAGAAATTTGGTTGAAATGAGGTTTTGATCAACAGTTCCTCTTTGAATTGGGTAGTAGTTCTTAAAAAAAGACGTTAATTTATGAATTTGTTTCTTCAGCTAAAGAAATTAAATTGTATCAAGTTATTTTAACATCTTCCATCACAGCTGTACTCCACTCCAATAAAAATATTAACATATTGATCATGACTGGAATTACAAACAATACAACGTTCATCTGTAACTTTTTCTACCTGCCACCTGTGACGAGGACTGGCTTTTTCTTTCCCCCCTCATCATTATTCCTAAAGTTACATGCACCCTCTATAGGTGGAACACAGTTCCCTCTCGTCTCGCCATGTTTGCTCAGCACATCAGTATCACTACACACTAACTTTTTGCTTGTGATTAAATGCTGTCTGTCAAATTAACTTATGTCTCACCTCCCTCCTCCTCCTTATCCTTGACCCCTCTGCCTCCCCAGTCTCTCCTTCTCTTTCCTCTCTTCCTCTCTACTTCTTCTTCTGCCTCCTCCTTTCCCTCTCTCTCTTGCCCCTTCCACACAGATGCTCCCAGCCGCCCAGCTTGACAGGAGTGATGGGATGTGTCAACTAGGTATTACACCTATCCCAACATTTTTACACTGCAAGCAGGGAGACTGGCTGGGTGGGAAAAATATTTTGGGATATGCAGGTGACGCTAGAATAATATACATCTCTTCTGTAGTTTCAGTAAACATAGCTGCACTGTAGGGCTGAACAATTTAAGGAGTATATGTAGTGGCAATATTTCTATGTATAAAGTATTTTGAGGGGGGCATCATTGCTGTTTTTTATAGTAAAAATTTAGGGAGGGAAAAATGTTCCAGACTGGACTCAAATTGAGTATTTGTGATTATATGGTCAGTGTTTTAAAGCTGAAGGCTACTTACATTTGTTTCTGAGCAATATTGTAATTAAATTACAAACTTATATAATGATATACTTTTTTACCAAGCAGGGTTCATAGCTTTTAAAGTCAGCAGTCGCAGACTTTTTTACAGATTGTTAAGAAGATGTTAATACCATAAGTTATACTGAAAATCACAGTTCTGGGAGTTTTTTATATCCATTATTGGAAAAGAAATATCCAGTTACTTGTTCAGGCTTGCTATGTTTTAAATGCATGTAAGAAACATGTTAAGGGAATGCTTTTGAATATTTGATCACGTGGGTCTTAGTTTGGGTCAGTATAATTTGTATATTTACGTCACACTCCTACCATCACCGTCTAGACACACACATAATGAAAAATGGGGAGCCAAGAAACCAAAATACCAACCAACATTTAGTTAATCAGTTAGACTGTTATAGTACAGAGAGTACATAGAGTACAGAGATGGTTTGGTAACTTGATGTATAAATAATGAAGAAAATGAAACCGCAGTCCAGTGGGATGAAAGAGGATGGCTTTTAAACACTTCACTCATCTGTAAGACTATTTATTTGGAGGATAAGGTCAACATTTTAAGGTGTCTTCTCAGTGATCATCATCCATCATGTCCTTGTGTTGCAACACTACTTGTAAAGTGAACCTGTCGACCCTGATGATCTATTACAGTATTGGTGTGTGATGTAATTTCATTTACAGCGGGACATGGTTCATGACCTGGCTAATGCCACTATCTTAAAGAGCCAACACAATACACAACAACAGCAATAAGATGTTGTTAAAGGACCAAAGTACTGTAATTTTGAAATGTAAAAACAAAGTGTGAACCTCTTTACTGTTTTGTTAATTCCAGACAGTGGTGTCAGAGATGTCACTTGAGACATGAATCATCATGCTTTGTGCATCAGACAAACATGTGTGACTGTCTTTTTGTGGAGAATATTTATTCTTGTCACATATTGTACACCAAACCACTGCATTAGTTGGTTGGTTAGTTCAGCTTTATTTAATCAGGAAGTCTCAGTGAGATCAAGATTTCTTTTACAATAGAGACCTGATATAAAAATAGATACAACAAGACAGTTCAGTCACAGCGGTCATCACACACAGTCACAAATATTAAGAATATGAGCAACTTCCTCAGAGATATTGGTTTCTCTCATTTCCATTTTTAGCATTAACTGATCTGTAAATGTTTTTAAAATAGTAAATGAAGGGAAAAGTTTCAAAGCAATTGGTTCATGCAGGAACACTTGATGTCGACGTGTGATGGTCTTTTTATTGGGTTTGACAGGTAGTTGAGTGACGGCTCTGAACACTGATCTTGACAACTCTTCACTCCCTCATACTTTTCATTACAATACTGTCAGTGAGTGACAGTTAATGATAAACCTACACTGACCAGAAACTGAACAACGCCATCCCCGGCTAGAACAAACTGACATCCCTCTCTCTCTGCCTCCTGCACCTTTTTCATCCTCTCAACTCTGATCATTCTGTTCCTCCTCTCTATCAAACACATGTCCATGTTTCACTTTTCTTCACATCTCTTTGCATAATCTCGCCTCTCTATGTATTACCTCCTCCTCTCTTGTGTCAGACCTGTTGGCAATATGGAGTATTTATGAAATGTAGGAATTACAGTTTATTATCTCTCAGTTACGCTGTTATTATTTGTTAATGATTGGTATAGGGCTGCAACTAGCAGTTATTTGCTGATTATTTTCTTGATTATTTGATTAATTGTTTGGTCTATAAAACGCCTTTCTTAAAGGCCAAGGTAATGTCTTCAGATTGTTATTTTTTTCTGACTAATAGTCAGTCTTTTTTTGTTTTGAAAAAGTACTTGCATGATTAATTGATTATCAAAATAGTTGCTTACCTGTTTCAGCTCTAAATTGGTTAATCACCTAGTCAAGAAAGCAGAGCCACAACTGATGTGTTAAAGGGGCTTTTTCATAATCTGTTTAGCAACAAAAAAGCCTATAAAGCTATATAACAGAATACTGATTTCTCCTTTCACTTGATAAATGGGCGCAGTTAGCATACTTTTGGCGTATTTTGGACAAACAAGAGACCTGAGTCAAGTTTAACGGCCTGGCAGCCTCTCAGTTCTCTCTGATGTGATCAGACTTCACAATGACCTTAGGATATTGGAACCCATAAAGTTATAAATCCATATATTAATCTCTCTGTTTATTTGTCTATTTTTATCCAAGCAGGTGAGGCAGTCCTGGACGATGTAATCGGACTGAAGGATTCATCTGCAGTGTTCACACAGGAGCGAGACAGAGGCGGGACAGAGAAAGAGGAGGAGGAGGGGGAGCACATCAAAGACACAAGGATGGGTGTGGGGAAGAATACCACCTCCAAGTCGTTGGACAGCAGCAGTGAGGGAGGAAAATATGAGGAGGAAAGCAAACATTGCGCAGATTTCTACCCTATTCCGGTACACAACTGTGTTTATTGGCCTTTTTTTTTTATTGTACTGTACTGCAATGTTTCAACACAGACAAAACCACAGCCGTATCAGGGACATGCTCACATAATGAACAAATGACAAAGACTAGGTTTGGTCAATATGCACGCAACCTTATAATTACTGTCCTCTTCCTTCTCCCTCCCCCCATCTCTCTCTTTCATGGACTCAAGCTCAGATTTGGCATTGCTTTTTGTCTGTAATGTATTTGTGTGAGCAGACAGCCCGAGTACAAACGGTGGACTTCATGGCCAATTGATGCTGCCACTTAGTCCATCCATTTCTTTTGTTTGTCCTCTTGGCACCAGGCCATAACTTCATGTAGGTCAAAAGGCATAATGACAACAAACGGCTTGCTTAGGCTGCTGCTACTGCGACCCAGCACCCGGATATGAAAACTTGAACTTGAATTCATCTGCTGTCCAGAAACATAACTCTAAATGAATGTTAATGCTTTTGTTTGCTCACACATTCACCATATCATTATATAAACTGACAATGTCGGTATTTTCAGCTTGTTTGCGGTTCGGTCTTTCCTGAACTGGTATTGGAAATTGGTTCAGTAGAACACAAAGGGAAGGAAATATGATACAAGCTTAAAGTTTCCTTTGTGCTTATTTTGTCCCATTGAGGCATTGTGAGGAGAAGTTTGTGTACCTGACTGTAAATTCCCCTAGGTTACAGACATTAATCTCCAACATTTCACAAATTATTTTTACATGTACAGCTGCTCAGTGTTTAATCTGGGGGGGGGGGCTCGGCATGTAGACACAGCAAAGTATGTTTACATGTGAGTAATCCTTGAGTACATTCGAAGGTCTGTCCTCTGCTTGATGTTTCTTCTCACAAGGGATCACAGGACAGACAGACTGGAAGCAGTTGGTGGATGAGCATGTTTACACACTTCTTGCCCCTCAGGCATGAAAACATTCAAAAGTATATAATCTCTAAATGTCCCATTTAGTGTTTGTAATCTTCCTCTCCGTCTCTTCCACTTATAATGACCCTCACTTTGTTGATTAACATGACACAGATACTTTTGGGACATACACAGGAAAAGCACACAGTCACACACATACTCTGCGGATGATATTTGTTTTTGTAAGGTGAGTTTGCATAATGTTGGAAAAACGTGTTCATGTGCAGGTTACCAAATCTGGTTCAATAACATCCTGGCAATTTCACTTTTTTATTCTTTCACACCTCGCTGCATCAACACACACTTACACAAAAATTTGCTCACCTGTGTTTTCATGTGGTTTTGTCAGCCGGCCAACAATGTGTCAAAGTTTGGGCCAGCGTGCTTTTCACAAACTAATTAAGATTGCCTTATGAATTGCCATTAAATGAAAAAGGACAACATTAATGATCTGAATTATGTGTGTGTGTGTGTTTCAGGTGGTGGTAAATGGAGTGGGTGGTGCCAGTGGAGACCAGGATACTGAGAACACAGAGCTGATGGCCATCTACACTAAAGAAAATCAAAGAGCAGAAAAGGTAACTAGAGAGGAAAGATTGATAAGTGAAAAACAATCGCCATTTCTCGTGCTGGTTTATTCCCAAATAAGTCTCTATATATGCAGACTGACTTATAGTCACATGGTTCTAAAAGCTTACAGTCAGAATCACACTTTTAATGACTTTGCTTTTCCCCTCTCACCTTTCCCCTACATTATTAAAGTTGTAATCCTCATGATTTCAGTCTGTAGTACCACCAATCTAAAGTTACCATAGTAACAACAAGTGTGGCCTTATGCTACAGCAAACACTCCTTGAACAGCAACTGCATCTGTTTACAGTGAGACCAAACAAACTGACATTGTTTTATTAAAGAAGTCAGGCAAAAATAATTGAATCCACTTTCTGATTTCATGCTGCACGTGGCGCGGGTAGTTTTCCACTCAGCAGCAAGTTTCCTTGGTTAGAGGTTGGAGGTGTGCAGCTTGTCTCCTAAAAACTCTTTGTCTGCCCACTGTGGCTGCTCCTTTTTGTTTCATTACTCCTTCAAAAATGAAAACTGATCCATTTTTGACGGATGAGTAGAAAAACAAAAAACAACCATAAATAATGAAAATCTTAAGCATTATAACGTTTATATTTATAACTTTTGAATTGTTTTTGTTTTAGTATTAAATACAAAGCAAGGTAAACTATGACCTTCGTTTGTGTGTGCGTGTGATATCATTTTATAATTTATAGCTTGAATTTAACAAATAAACATTTGGTATTGGTAAATTCAGTTTTATGGTTCACTACTTACCTGGTTCTTTGTATTTAAAACAGTAAAACACAAACTCATTCCCACTCTAACTAGCACAGGAAAGTGCTGACGACATGTGGACCAGAAATCAGTCCGACTCCTCAAACAGTAGCCATCTTATCTTCCCTTTTTTTTCCTCCTCTGTCCTCTGTTTTCTCACTCTCACTGTGACTGTGCATTTTTCTTTGCTGAGAGAATGAAGTCATGTGTTTATTTTTCTCTTTCACACAGTTTCTTTCTTTCTCTGAATTTTATGAATGATAAAAAAAAGTTAGCCTACTGTTCTCACATCAACCATTGATATGACTGTGTGATTATTATTTATTAGTTATTTTCCTGTATGTTTGCATAAATATTATTTTAGTGTAGAGGACAAAAGTAAACATGTCAAGAAAGATATAAACTATGAAGATCTCATTCATCCTGTTTCTTTGTGTGTTTGTAGAGCTCAATGTCTGAGACGTTGGACAGCACAGACAGTACAGACGCAAGGAGGATGGATATGATCTATACCATTGAAGACACCCCACCCTGGTACCTGTGTGTTTTCTTAGGCTTACAGGTAAATCTACGCACTGGACGTTGTTTTTCACATGGCTGACTCACAGTCGTCAGTATATTTTCTTTACCTGACTAACGCATGTGTTTCACCATATGGACTGAAAAACATGCACTTACATGTCCTGTGTAAACAGGGTGTGTCATATCCTTTCCTGTGCGTGTGCTTGTCATCTCAGTGCAGTATTTTTCATCTGACCGTCTATAATATTTATTATGCAACTGGATGCTGGACACAAAAATAGGATTGTGCTCACAGCAGTTATCTGTTGGTTTACTGAGTTGATGTCCTCAATGTGTGACCACAATGTTTGTTTCTGACACTGGACTTTTTTCCTCTGTCATCTGCCTCTGTTTTGGAGTCATAACTTGTATGTCTATGTATGATATTGTAATATGACAGATTAAGAATAGCTTGAATTGCTTGTCTGACAACAGAAGAAAAGAAATAAACCATAGCGGTTTATAATGATGCTTGATAACTATATGAACGAATAATTCAACAATTAGTATCAAGCACTTTGAGTGCCACCCATTTACAATTAACCATAAATGTGTTGGGGTTTTTTGTTTTTGAGAAATTCAGCTAACAGGCAAACAAAAAGGTAATGAACTCTAAGTGAGTTTTCTACCTGGAAGGTTGGTAGGTAATATTTAGACATATTTATATATTTAAAAGGTTGTAGCTATGGTGTTTTTGTGCTCTGCTGACCTAACCTAACCAGCAGCGTAGACCTCAAAATGTCATGTCGAACAAAGTCAAACAGTAAACACACACCGACTCTGTGGCTTCTTGTCTTTGCAGCACTACCTGACGTGTTTCAGTGGAACTATCGCTGTGCCATTCCTCCTCGCTGAGGCGATGTGCGTTGGCTTCGATCAGTGGGCCACCAGTCAGCTCATAGGGACCATCTTCTTCTGTGTGGGGATCACCACCCTGCTACAGACAACACTGGGCTGCAGGTACACGCACACATAATACTGTCTTACATGGCATCAGGGATATACTTTCTTAAATACACACGCTTACTCCCAGTCACACAGTAGATTTGTGCCTACATGCGAACACGAAATTGCAGTTTTTCTATAGGTTGCACATTTTATTCTGTCTTTCACTTCCTCATCTCCTCTTTTTTTATTCCCCCTCTTTCTTCCACTCTCTTGCCACTTTAAGACAAGGGCCATTGTTGACATGAAGTTCCTCTTTCACCGTCCTTCCTCTTCTTGTCACTCAGGAGTGTGTTTAAGTGTGTTTGCATGCGTTTAAGTAGATCCTGACCCGTCCTTTTTTGTCATGGTAGGTTCCCTGAAAATATCTCACAGGTAAATTAAACAGACACATATTAAAAGAGGTGTTTAAAAAGACTTGTATGCATATTTTCTATCAGAATATGATGAGTTAATTAACTTTAAGTTCCTTGTTTCGTTCATGTGACTGCAGTCGTCCCGTGTGACTGAGCCATACTTGTTTTGTAATAGTTGAAAGTCAGCTTTAAAAAATAAGCTCAGATGTTATTATGGAAACCACAGAAGCTAAACAGATTCAAGAAACTGAAGACCTGTGGCGTTAGACTACACCAGTTAATCTCTTTAATCAACTGCAATTTCGTTTTCGATTATTCTTTGCACTTACACAGTAATGTTGCACATACATAATGCAGTCGGTTTGGGTTGTGTGTTTCATAACCAGTGATTCACCTGATTTATCTGTGACGGTTATATCAATATCAATAAAGTAACCGCTTACATGAGACATTACCTGTTGCCATGGATATTATCCTACCTTTTGGATCTGTGTTTTAATAAAAGCAAGGTCATGTTGGCATGAAGTAGTGTTTTTCTTTCATGAAAGAGGAGCAGTTCAGTGAGGTAAACCCTTGCTTTTTTTTCCCGTTTCTGTAATAAATCTAATCTTTCCATCCTGGTGGCAGATTCTGTGCGTTTCATTATTATTACTGGAGTGCAACAGCCCCCGCCACTACTGCTCTGGGCAAATCACCTCATTCAGATAAACCCAGACAGACACAGATACTCACTGTTCTTTTTGACATGGCCTTGACTGACGCCTCGATGAAAATGGTGTGTAAACACTGTCCTATCTACTTCTTTTTTCTCATCGCCTACATTCAGTGGGAAGTTCAGGAGAAACCTTTTATTGATAGATGTATGTGGTAGAGAAGACTGCATATCTGTATTCCACAAGACTGGGATTTTGCTGACAAATCTTTATCTGCTTTGAGGTTAAATATGGCCACAGTACTTTTTTTGTGTGTACTTTTCCAGTGTCCAAATAAGGAACAAATACATCATGCCAGGACACTCAATCTCTGGCTAAATAAATGTGTTTATAATTTGAGTCAATTTGAGTCATCTTCCACCACAGGCACTAGACATGGACGTTACCCAACCAATATTGATAAATAATACAAGAAGACTAATGGATTTTGTAGACAGATTATAGATTTAGATTTTTTGAAAACATTTTTAATATAAGAAGCTTTAATATATATCTTGTCATTGCAACAACAGGGACATTTTTCAGTGTAGCCTCCAGGCAGAGGGTGTTGGCTCTTAAATTAAAATTTTGCCTTTCTTTCTCCCTTACTCAGTTCTTCCTCACTCTCTGACACAAACAAAGACACAGTCTAGTCTTGGCTTGAACGTGAATGGCATTCCCGTCACACCAGCAGCCTACATGCTCGGAGGCTGTGCTGAGCTGAGGTGACACAGACAGCCACTATCTCTGCGTCTCTGTGGATTACTGTCTCCTAAGTATTTCCACTGGGTACTAACAGAGAGAGGGAGAGGAGGAAAATGCCAAACACATGTTGATACTAAACACTAAAACATAACTGTAATGAACTGATTGTTGGTCAAATGTAAGTACGGATACACCCAAAATGTGTTGCCAGACAAATTGGACTCTGATCACTATACATTGAATGACTACCTATTAAACTATTAAAATAGAAAAATATTACCCTGCACTGGCCCAAAACTGACAACAATTAAGCCCTTTTAAATGTAACACACACACACACA